TGTGTTTATTCTGACAAACAGTAAAGAATCAATCCTTCAGTGAAGTTCTGCTCTGAAGTGCAACACATTCCTCATTGTGTTTTCTTATTTGTGGACCGTTTTCTTTTGTTGCTGCTGWGTTTCCATTGTGTTCTGTGATTTGTTGTTGTGTTGTGTACTTCGTAGCCACCGTGCGTCCACTGTAATACTCGTTATTTTATATATTATCTGGTTTTACAGTGACATTTGTTCAGTCGAGGATTTTAAAGGTGAAAGTGAAACTAAAATGAAAAAGGAGTTCAGGGGAAAACCAGAGATCTCTACACGGAAGGAACAACTTGGTCTTTCAGTTGATTTAAATACAGTAAAACGTGAGTGTGTGTGACTCATATATGAGCCGAATTTAGCACAATACACATTTACTTTATCAAACGTCTTAATTATTTAATTTGGCCCATGTGAGATCACTTTTTTAAAACTTTCAGTGTATTTCTGAATGGAGTTTGGTTTGAAGCCATAGTGTGTGCGTTTATGTGTTGTGTTGTTCTCCCTCCCTGCCTGTGGGTGTTGTTGTTGTCTCTCTCTGTGTCTCAGGGGATTGTTGGATGGCCTGATGGAGGCCATTTTAAAAAGGCTCACCTGACGTTGCCAGTGGCTCGGTTGTTTTCCCGCCTCCCGAGGCGAGGAGACATCAGACTGATTGTTAAAGTTCTGCAGATTATTGTTCTGTTCAATGCTTGGAGCAGTCCTGAGTAAGGGAAGAGAAGCCTTTTTGTCGTTGCATCCTTTTCTCCTGGTTTGTTAGGTAGGCAGGTAACATCCCTGTGTTTTCTTTTCCTCTTTTCTCTCACAGTTGGGAAGTTAGTTTGCTTGAATATTCATTCTTTTCTTTCACGTCTTACACATAAAGAAATAACAGAGAAGTCGACTTAAGTATTTGATTTGATTCTACATAATTGAACACGTTCAGGGTTTTTTATGATCTGAACAAAAATATACAAGTAGGAAAAGAGTCAGTAAAAAAAAAAAATCTTTTTTATCATTTAATTTGTTCAATAAGATAATAAACAATAAATGAAATATGAATGAGGAGCTTTTTATTCACACTTTATAATAAAGAGCCAGACTGAGAGTGTGGGCCCTGATAGCAGCTTGCAGCGTCCTCCAGTGGACAAATGGTGGTAATGCAGAATGTTGGTAAAGTCAAATTAACAGTGAAACAGTGACGTGATTCTGAAATGACAGTTTGAAATTCAAACACGAAGTCTAAATTCTTTATTTATTTTCATCCGTGAAGACGCTTATTATTTAGAAAATTGATCTAAATTTAAAGAGACACCTCTTGATCATTGATTGGATGATTGATCGCTCTGTATCAAGGCTGTTTTAATATAAGTCCTTGTGTTGTTCTTCTGTGGGTGATGAGTTTCAGACACATAGATAATATCACTTGTTGGACATGTCCAAATACTTCCAGCACCTCCAGCACTTATGGCGAGTGTGACTCCATAACTGTTACCAGTGTTGGACCTCTATACAATCATCATGTGCCTTAAATCCCTGCAGCCAGTGCACCAACATCTGGAGGAAAACCTGCAACCAGAAGAAGAGTAGAGGCTGTTGTAGCTGCAGCAGGTTAACAGCAGTGGCTTCAAATGTTCCAACAATCACACATGGGTGTTATCGGCAGGTGTCCTAATACTTTTGGCCATATGGTGTAAATAATGCTGTTGGAAAAAAGACCCGCAGTAGATCCTATGACCTTTGTAATAAGATGTCACTCATCTGTTCACCTGTTGGGTTAGAGGATTACGGAGTCTTTACCTCAGAGCAGCATCCTGAGCTGCAGTCACCACAGAGGAGGAGGAAGGGGGGGGGGGGCTGCTTCCATCGATCACATCCACTCTGCAGCCGGAGCACACGGGTCAAATGGTAGCAAAATGATTTTCATGAATCATAATGAGGCTCAACAGCTGCAGGTTAAAAACCCAACAGTCACTTATTATGAAACTTCTTTTCTACATGGTCTCATTATGTCTCACATTAGATCAATGAGGACAGAGGTCAAAGGTCACTGGATGACTTCATTCATCCGTTCATCCCAACATTTTCGTTGAACATGAGGCAATAACTAAAACTTTGGAGGAACAAAATCTCATCTAATGTTTTTATTAAATACTGTAAATGAGCCAGAGTTAGCTGAACATGCCAATTTACATCTGTTGTCCCTATATTTAAAAAAAAGGCAACCTGAGATATAATAGAATGGTCTGATTTATAAAAATACAAATATCAACGCTCAAACCATTCGATGATTAAAAATCAAGCTGTACAATATAACACAAAGCCACAGATACATAATTAAACTAAATCACAATGTATGTATGTAAATACAGGTAGAGAATAAACTACACTTTAACTTTAGTTGAGAATCTGAATGAACAAATAATAAAATAAGAGCAGGGATGAACTCCAAGGTCCACAACCCCCTGCGGCCAATCACAGGGCGAGTTGTACAGGAAGTAGTAAACCATGTGACAAGTGGTAAACTATATGACAAGTATTAATTTGTCTAAATTGGTAAGAGAATAAATTAAATCCATAACTTAAGAGAATAAACTGTTGCTGTTAATATAAGTATATTAATTATTTCGTATTTTATTCATTTTGAATCAATCATCACTTTAACTGGAGCTGATCTGAAACGAACAAATAATAAAATGAGATGAACTCCAAGGCCCACAATCCCCTGCGGCCAATCACAGGGCGAGTTGTACAGGAAGTAGTAAACAAGCCTGTTTTGACGGACAGCAGGTTTTGACGAATAGAAGAGCTGGAATGGCCGCGGCGGGCCAATCACAGGCGAGGTGGGCGGGCCTCGTGTCCACCAGGGCCTCGGAGGAGGAGGAGGAGTTCCTGGCGGCCATCTTGGATGTGCGGACTGATTGTTTAGCGAGAAGAATTGTGAACATTTTAGAAAACAAGCCATTTTACTGAATCCCTGAAGCTTTGAGGGAGTGGAGGCGACCGAGGACAGAGACCGTCACACGGAACAGTCCGGGTAAGTGACCCTCGGAGCCGGAGGTGATGGGTTTGTGAACCGTCCCCCTCCGTCTCTCTCCGCCTCTCTCCTCTCTCCACATCAGGCAGCGCCGCCGGTGGGAAGCTGCGGCTCTCCACGCCGCTCCGTGTCCGTGTTTCTGCTCCTGAAAACGGGTTAAACCCAGCTCCCCCTCCGGTGCAGGGGTCGGTTAGTGAAGTGTGGCCGCTCGGAGGTCGGTGCCCACCGGCGGGAGCTGGGACTGCTGATGCCCGCCGTGTTGATAAACATCCCGGGAGAGGAAACGTTTGACCCCCCGCTCCTGCTGGTTCCGTCCGTTTGTTCCAATCCGACCGTGATTCAGTGCAGAAACCGGGGGTTCGAGTCCTCAGCTGCTCCACACGAGTCCGCCTGTTTTCAAGGGAATGCGAAAAACAACGTTTGTTGTGTGTTTCAGGAAGAACACGATGCACATGTCGAAGTAGAACAAGCAGGTGATGTCCGTGTTTCTCATGTGTTCCTCAGCTCAACTGCGAAAATAGAGTTAAACTGTCAAAACCCGTCCTCATCTCAGAATCATCAAATATTAAAGTGCCTCGGTGCAGAAAAAAGAGGTTTTACTCAAAAGTGGGAACATTATATAACAATCGTATCCATCACTTCCACTGTAATATCTCAAATATCACATATCATCTTTGGATTATGTGTTTTTGACAGTATGAGCTGGGAGGTCACATGTTCAGCATCTTCATACCTGCAGGAAACCTCCTTACGATTCATATTAATATGGTATTAATATAATCACTGATATCCGTAATCCCCAGCAAGTTTGTTATGTACAATTATCAAAAATTATAACAGACATTAGAGTCGCTCAAGAGCTGCTCATTCAACGTAATCTTGAACGATGCCGTTTTATTTTTCCATTAAATCCTATATTTGAGTTATACAGGGAGGTGTTTCTCATATTTAGTTTTTTAAAAGCATTTTTAATGTAGCACCACACAATTTATGAAGTCAAATTCATTCACGCAGCATCTGCACACTGTCCGTACAGTTCATTTAAGTTTTTGCCCTGAAACTCATTCTTACTCAAAAAAGAAAAACTACTTCCACAGACAGCAAATGTGAAATCATAGAGTTGTTTTAATACCAACATTTCACATCATTTTACAACGTAACTCTTGCAGAGTTTCTTGTTTTCGGTCTTTTCATCTGAGGCAGAATTAAGCGATAGATTTTATGTTTGTATCCGTCACTCGTGCTGCGTGACAGGAATAAAAGTTTTGTACATTACCTCATCCGTGAACATAATTTGCACCTTAGTGGCCATCAGGTAGATTTTAATCAGCAGTGGTGAAGAAGACAACAACTCCCATGATCCCGTGCTGCTTCATGATGTAATCAACGTAGTTCTTTTGTTGTTTTGATTGAGAGAACCATAACGGCCGCACTTGTACACGTAATTGTTTGTTTAAAGACGCTAAAATTAAATATTAATTGTTCAAGTTATTTTCTCAGCTGCTCTCTGGACATAAAATACACCTGGAAGCGTTTTTGTTGTCACATATAATTAAAGAGGTGTTAAGTTTAAACAATAAACTATATTCATTATATACATTTAATACATCCACCAAGGAGCCTTGATGGGTCCGAGTCCGCAAATTGTGGCAAATGATGACACCTTCGGCAAATTAGCTGAGCTGATGCTTTTTATTCTTTTCCTGTAACCATTAGTTTCCCTCAGGGTGCGCGTCGGTAAAACGTTATAACAGTTTCTGCAGCATGATCAGAAGTGCCATTGTTCAATGGCCTGTGTCCGAACGTGAAAACGGGCCGGTGTCGTCCTGCTGCCAGTTTGTGCCTTAAAGCCGAGATGGCATTTTGTCGTCCCCTCAGACTGCTCCTTAGAAATACGTCTGCTCAGCGCGCGTGTCATCAACAGACGGCGCTCGATGCTACTTTGTTGAACACAACTCAGGTCCAGGTCAAGAGGATACACTTTTCAATTTGACCAAGCAGCAGCTGTGAAATTCAAGTCTGAATTGTTGCTCGGCGGATCGGACGTACCATGGAGGGAAAAGTCGAGCAGAACAGTTTATAACAGGTTTTCTGCGGAGAAAGGAAACATCACACCACTTCATTTTGTCATGAAGCTTAGTAGAGATGTTCTTATACCATATTTCCATCCTGATACCGATTCCAATACCTGTCATAGAAGATTATTATCTAGTTTGATAGAAGGACTCGTATTGCTGGTTGTCTTTTCTGCTTTGCGACTGCCTTTTTCAAATTTGTGTAGTTTGAATTCGATTTCCAAAGTTTCTGCTGCAGTCCATCCTCCGTGAGCTCCTTTTGCACTTGTGTGTGATGGTTGTTCAAATGCTTTCAGAGATTATTCGTGCCACCTCTCGAAACTGAAGTCTTGAACGTTGCACACGCCACCATTTTACTCGTGGGACTCTCCAGCGTGAAACATTACCTTAATGCGGACATTTTAGCCAGGTCTGGCTAACGCTGCATTACAGAAAGGCTGAAATAAACTCTTCTTTGCTGCTCTAAAAACAATACTCGCTCCTTGCTGCTGTGTTGAAGCAATGAAGAAGTTTAAGTCATAATAAAAAAGACGCGGTATCGCAGAACCTTGTTTTTTGCTTACTCCCTGGTGCGCGACCCGTCATTTATCGGCAGTATCAGATATCTGATATCAGAACAACTCTGATGCTTAAAGACTTTTCACAGCATATTATAACTGCTCTGTTATGTTCATTAACTCTGTCCTGACTCATTTTACTTGTTAAACATAATTTGCACCAGAGGACAATAGATGCACGAGCAAAAGTGAAAGCATCTCACATGTTCTTATATAATATTACAAATTCTACCTAAATTGTCAGTAGACATTAATGAATTATTAGCAGTTTTTCCTTTGTGCACGATGCACTTAACATAACCTGCAGGTGAACATGTTGCTCTGCCACAGAATGTGGCGTGACAACCCCCGAGGACCGAACGCTCGTCCTATAGTAAGATCTGACTGGATGGACAGTGGATAAATATTTACGTAAGAGAAGGAAAGATTCAATAACCGCGGCTGCAGAGCTCAATGAATCTGTGTGGAGACTAAAAAAACATTGATGATTAACATCAGAGTCTCACAATCAGCTGAGGATTGCAGATTGAACGCATGTCGTCTTATCAGTGCCCCAGCATGCCAACACGCTGAAGCACGTTATATGGAACATGCAGAGGAAACGGCATTGGATGCAACAAGTTCAAACGTCTACACGCAGCCGGCACATAAACAACATCAGGTTTCTTGTAGTTACATTTGGAGAATCCTCTAGAGATGTTGAAGAATGTAAAGGTGCGACTTAACTGCAGAGCTGCACCTCTGGATTTGCTCAACGACACTTCAGCAGGGCAGAAGCTAATTAATAAAGAGGACAGTGTTCTCTACATGTCTTCCCATATGTCCCATATTCTTGCTATCGGTGTCTCCATTGAATTTTTTCTTGAATGTTATTTAAGTGGTTTCCTTCTGTCTTTGCTCAGCACATTTAGTGAAATATACAGCAGTTTTAATGAATTTACAGATAAATTAATAAATACATTTTGTTTGTGTTTTTCTGCAGTGAAAGAAGGCATGAAGACATCATCCTAGTTTTCAGTCATGGCCGATAAAAGGAAACTTCAAGGTGAGTTAAGTGTGTGTGTGTGTGTGTGTGTGTGTGTGTCTTTAGATGATCCTATCAGTGAACAGTTGAATATTTCAATTTTAAATGAGAGAATTCTCCATCACCCAGCACACCTGTTTTCTTTTCTGCTCTGGTTTGGCAAATGTTGACACTTCCTGTTTGTGCAGAGGGTGACATGACGTCCATGTGTGTTGGCAGACATCTGTTCAGAAGTGCTGGCACACATTCACACTCTGTAGTGAGGACAGTCAGGAAGTGACTCCTCTGCCACTGCTGCTCCTCCCCTCTGTTCTCGCCGCTTTTTATTTTTAAAATTTAAACAGCCGTGACTCTAACAGTGAAGCCGACATTGACTGATGTCTGGAAGCGTTCCCAGTGCTCTGATGCTACCCAGCATCCAAAGCTGAACACACAACACCGCAGCGTAACCCAACCCAGACCTTTGTGTAAAGACAGAATCCCCCCCGGGCTCAGCTCTGTCCCTCAGAAATCTTCCTCAGAGTCCTTTTTAGTCTGATGCCATTTGTCACCACAGGGCTGAAAACCCAGTTTGTGACAGGATTCATCCTCAATGATTCTCTGTCAGCTTCACTCATCTCTTCACATGTGCTCTCGTGACTTCCCTCTCTGAACAGCTGTCATGTGTAAAAAAAATAAACGTGTATCTCCCCCTGAATCTCAAACTGAATAAAGATGGAGCGCGGGCACCGACTCGGCTCCGTCAAATCGTAATGTATTATTTCAGAGGAGGTAGACTTTCATCTAAAAATAACACACCCGCAGCAGTGTCTTAACATCAAGGCTGTTTAAGGTCAGACTCAAACTGGAGTTTGTTCAGACGACTCTAGCTCCTCTCGTCTTTTGAATCTTCCCTGGTTTCTCAGAGTGACCACACAGTTGATCAAATAACAGTCATGTTGAGATAATACTTGTAACACAAAGAGCTGACGTTGTGGTTTTCTTCGCTGGAAGGGCTTTTTCAGTCTCGTGAACGGGAAATCTGCTGAATATCTGAAGCTGCTTTCAGCTCATATCTTCAAACATAAACACTGATAGTGATATATCTGGGAAAGGTTCATATCAACTGATATATTAGTTTGTGATTTTCGTGCGTGTGAACACGCTGGAAATCTTCATATTTGAGAAATAAATAATGAATGGATTATTTAAAATATGATTATGTTTCTGTCAGTCGACAGTTGAGTATATCGGTGTTTTCTGATTCAGAAATTAAAAGATGACTTTCCACACGTGTTTTCTTTCCTATTCTCATTTCACTACAACCATCATCTCCGGGTTAAAAATAATTAAACTGCACAAGAACAAGCTTTTTCCTGTTTATGTTTATTAGCGAACAACTTATCTTAGTCACGTGACTTGAGGAAAACATTAATCTGGGACACGGTGGCGATAACGAGGCCTAAATGATTTTCTCTTCCTGTCACCGCCTCCTCTGTTTGACTCCGTGACCTTCCTCCGATCATGAAGCTGAAGATTTGAAAATGTGTGCGTGTAACCCCCTGCCTACAAGCTTAATGCACCTTTAGTGATTTGCATATTTCATGAGATGTCGGACACTATTTGCTAATGCCCGGCTGTTCTGTGGTGCGTTTGTTGTTTTCCTGTGTGTGTGATTTGAAATTCGAGAAGCAACGTGACATGTTTAAAAAAAAAAAAACTAACTGAGATTACGTTGAGGGGTTAATCCTCTCAAATCTGTAGCGTGGAATAACTTAAAAAATGTTTTCTGTTTTTAAACCAGCTCATCCGCTTCTTTGAACTCGCCCCTGGTGTTTTGACGTATTCATATTTGCTCATTTCACTAAAGCCTTCTCCGTATTCTGCTCCCTATCTCCTCCTCCAGGTGAAATAGATCGATGTCTGAAAAAAGTAGCGGAGGGAGTAGAACAGTTTGAAGACATCTGGCAAAAGGTGAGGAGGGACTGTGACAAGGTTTGTGCAAACTTTTATTTTTTTATCTATCGATTCACTCTCTCAATCATTCCGTCTGTTTTGTCTGTTCAACATCAGAAAAAAATGAAATGCCCGTCACAATGCCATGTCAGATAAAAGTCTGTTTTCTTTCCATTAACTTATCAGTTATTCACGTAAAAGGAACGATCATTGCAGCTCTGCACGTTTTACTCACCATTGATTCAGCGAAAGTTTTATTTAGATCATAAGAAAATGGTTAAAAGAACCTGTCACTATTTCCCAAGAGTCATATTTTGGTCTGATGACAAAATTATAATTTCCTCGCGATCAAAGAACAAACAAAAACCAAAATGCTTGTACATTTCGCCTGTGACAGGACATTTGTCTGCTTCAGCTGGCAAACAACCAGAATTTAGACCATAATCAGATTGTGTGAATATTTTCCACGATGCTTAGCTGCAGTGATTGAATTCTTTTCCTGCTTTTATTTCTTTATAAGTGCGTTGAACTGGGACTTGCGTTTGCAGTCATAATAATTAAATAAACACTGCAGTCACCACAACACAACGTGCAGTCCTCACTATTAAGACAGTGCTCGGCCCTGAGCTCCCAGCAGCCCGCAGGCCCAGAGGGCAGATCTGTTTGGCCAATAAAGAGGCAGAAACTTGTTAGTGGT